TTAAGTGAGGCTGAATGTGGTAGCTGACGCCTGTAATCCCAGCACTTTGGGAGGCGAAGGCAGGCAGATCACTCAAGGCCATTAGTTCGAAACCAGCTTGGCCAATGTGGCGAAACCCAAAACATGTATCTGCAAAGCTCAATAAAGCAAAGCATAGTAAAACACAGCTTGCCTGTGTCTCGTACAGGGTACTACAAAACCTTTAAATCAGAAATGCCAAGAGGCACAGACAAAACAAAACAAAACAAAAACACCTTTAAGAAAAACCTAAAGGCTTGGGGAAAGGGTGGGCTAACAATAGAAAGCCTTTTTGACAGTATCCTCCCTACTGCAGCCAAACACCTGGGGAAAAAACCACACCCCGTATCACCAACCCCTTGCCTTTGCAGCTGGGCTGTGCAGAGTTGATCTTCCCTCCTGCTCCTTGGAAGCAGGCGGTGTTTCAGTTCCCCTGCCAGGAGGTGTCAGCAAAACTGAGCAGGGTGCTGATCTTTCATTCCCCTTGCTGGGTGGAACTGGATAGTACTCCATGGCAGAGCCAAGAGTATCAGCAGAGTCCAGCCTTACGCTGAGCTTCCGTCTCTACCTTGTAGCAAAAAAATGTGAGTCAGCTCTCCTCCCTGGTGGCACTGGTGCTAAGAGGAATCTCATCCAACACCCTAACTTGGAGGAAATGAACCAGTGCCAGCCAGTGTCTTGTATTCAGTGGAAAGGTGTCTTCAGGGACAAGTCAGGAGGTAAACTTCTACCCCACTCTCTGCAGCATTGCCCTGCTTTTTCCACTCTAGTGTTGGTAGGGCCCTGGAGGAAGCAGAATCCACATCCACCACCCCATGCTACGTTTCAACAGGGGCACTGCACGCTAAGCAAAGATGTCCAGGGCTGGGCACGGTGGGTCACGCCTATAATCCCAGCACTTTGGGAGGCCAAGACAGGAAGATCACTTGAGGCCAGGAGTTTCAGACCAGCCTGGGCAACATAGACCCCCATCTCTTAAAAGAAAAAAAAAATTAGCTGGTTGGTGTTATGTTCCTATAGTCCCAGCTACTCAGGAGGCTGAAGTAGGAGTCTTGAGCCCAGGAATTCGAGGCTGCTGTGGGCCATGATTATGCCACTATACTCCAGCCTGGACAATAGAGTGAGACTGTCTGAATAATAAATTAAGTAAATAAAGATTATCAGGATACAATAAAAAATTGCAGGAACCAGAAGGATCACAGCATGAATGAGAATAGCCAATAATGGATACAAGCACTGAGATGAATCCGATGTTGGAATTCTGACAAGAATTTAAAGCAGGCATCATAAAAATCCTTCAATAAGTAAGTATTTATGTTAAACAACAAAAATAGGAAATCTCAGCAAGAATTTATGGGCCTACCACCAGGGAAATTTTTGAGATGATAGAAATATCTGTCTTAGTGTTGTGGCTTATACATTTGTCATACTTAACAAATGGTGTACTTAGAGTGGGTACTTTTAATTTTCTGAGTAAAGTATACCTCAGTAAAGTAGATTTACAAATAAGGGATTTTCATTCCTGAAGATTCTGATTCAGTAGGTCTACGATAGAGTCCAAGATTTTTTTTGTTTTAATTAATGCCCCATGTGGTTCTCAGGAACTCCTGATCTCTCCAGAGGAACCTAAGCTAGTTGGGAATTCTTCAGAATATTAATCTGTTAGCAATCTGTGTAAATAAAAACTAGTTCTGGTAAATTATGAATTAACCAGACAACTGCTTGCAGAATAAACAGAATACATAATTAGAAATCGTTAAGCGGCCGGGCGCGGTGGCTCACGCCTGTAATCCCAGCACTTTGGGAGGCTGAGGCGGGTGGATCACGAGGTCAAGAGATCGAGACCATCCTGGTCAACACGGTGAAACCCCGTCTCTACCAAAAATACAAAAAAATTAGCTGGGCATGGTGGCGCGTGCCTGTAATCCCAGCTACTCAGGAGGCTGAGGCAGGAGAATTGCCTGAACCCAGGAGGCGGAGGTTGCGGTGAGCCGAGATTGCTCCATTGCACTCCAGCCTGGGTAACAAGAACGAAACTCCGTCTCAAAAAAAAAAAAAAAAAAAAAAAAAAAAAACTTTAAGTGTATTATCCCTACTTGGAAATAATTTTTTTTATTTTTTTTATTGGGTAGTGTTGTGAAGAGTATTACATGGTATCCTTAGAAGCTGTAAATTGTGATGCTGGGTCATAAAAAACCTGTACTGTGGTATGTTTTTGCTTCTCTCACTTAACCCCACCCTTCACTCCATTCCTTCTCAGGACACTGTCTTCTTGGTGGCTAATGGGAGGGTGGATTCCTCATTTGGAAACTGCTGTTGCCTGGGCCATCATGGTTTTCATCAGTGCCTCCCAGGGGGTGATGCTTTCTGTCAACATCCTGCTCTCCACAGAGGCTGAGAAATGATCCCTGATGCCATCATCACAGCGTTTAGGCCCCTCCCATTGGCCTCACTTTAACGTGATGGCTATCATATTTCCATCTGGGCTGCATTTTAAAAAAAATCCTGCCAAGGAAGCCCAGGGATTCTCCCTCACTGATAAGCCATTTCCAATGCAGGCCCGGGATTGAGTCAGGTCGCCTTATGCTATTACTCTTTTCTTTTACTCAGATTGGTCTGGCTGGTCTACCCAGATAAAGTGTAGCAGTGTCTGAGGCTGGATGTGACGGATGGGGGAATTGTTGATAGGGATGCCTTCATTCTGCAGCGCATATTTCAAGGCAAGCAGATAGTTTTCCTGTAGCAGCACTGGTCACAGCTGGATTCAGGGGAAGGCTGCCTGTATTTCCCACCTGGGCCAGGTGAGCTGCTAGCATTCTTCTCGGTGCTAGAAGGAGTCATTCTTTGAATGTGGTCCCAGATTCAAAATGAGTTTTGAGTGGGTGTCAGAATGCCATTCCTGATAGCTTCTCTGTTTCGACAGTGCAAATACCCCTGGCCTCATTTGTCTGCTTTTAAATAATAGATGCCTGAGATTGGCTCTGGGTAGGAGACCTCCCCCACCTGGCTTCTTTCTCTGAGTTTACCATGGTATTCTCCTGGTCTAGCTGGAACTAGATTTGGTCCTTGGGACACTCCTGTGGTCTCTAGCCCTCCTCAGTGCTTACTAGCTGGTCTTTGTTTCTATTGGGTATTTTTGTATGTGTCATGGTTACTGTCATCATATGACTAATGTCAGAGGGGGTCAGGCACAGTTATAGCTTCTAATTGTGTTGGCCTGGTAAGGGAGCTATGCATGGGGGAAAATACATATCAGGAATCATCAACCTGCATTAAAGGGTCATAATACTTGAAAAATTTGTAGATGATACCTAGCTCTACATCCTATGTGGATTGTGGTTTCTAAGAGGGATTAGTTAGGTTTTTCCTTTCCTAGTATGGATATGGAACCAGAACTAGGAAGAAAAGGCATAGAGAAAAATACTATGGCTCTGTTTTCGGAGAGCATCCTTGTAGGGGTTTCCCAAATGTAAAGTGTTTTTATTTTTTAGAGATAGTGTCTCAGTTTGATACTCAGATTAGGGTACAGTGGTTTGATTATAGCTCACTGCAACCTTGAGCTCCTGGACTCAGGTGAGCCCCTTGCCTTAGCCTCCTAATTTAGTGAGACTACAAGTGCACACCACCACGCCCAGCTAATTAAATAAAAATATTTTGTAGAAATGGAGTCTTGCTATGTTTCCCAAGCTGGTCTTGAATTCCTGGCCTCAAGCACTGCTTCCACCTCAGCCTCCCAAAGTGCTGGGATTATAGGCGTGAACCACGATGTCTAGTCCAAAATGTAAATATTAGGTCTTATGTTACTTAAGGTATTCCAGGAATGTCTGGATGTGGTATAGAAGGTGTGGGTATTGGGGAACCTCTAAGAGTATTTCCAAATTTTATCTTCTGTTCTTTAAAAAAATATAAGCTGTGAATTCAGCAGGTAATACAAGTGGAACTGATTTCTTGGTGCCTGCACCCCTAAGAATCCAATCTGCTTGCTTATTCAGTAAACCTTTGAGTTAGTGCAGGGAGTCACTCTCTGTTTTCTCGGGGAGCCCTGGAAACTGAAATGGCAAGGAATACTGTGGCTTATGGTCATATTTGTGTGCCTTTCTGCCTTTCCTTTTGAGTTACCTGAGTGTGTAGGACCCTTCCCCACTGCCATGTGTTGTGAAGCACAGTTCTAACGTGTAGTAAGCAAGGTCATTTCTAGCATCTCTGTTTGACCTGTAGAAGAAAATAATCACTGATAATTAATTTTTTTCAAGACTGAGGCAAACAGCTTACTCAGGAGTGGGCTGCCATTCCTACTTATGATGAAGCATCTCTCTTTCTCTATTTTTTTTTGAGATGGAGTTTTGATTTGTTACCAGGCTTGAGTGCAGTGGCATGATCTTGGCTCATTGCAACCTCTACCTCCCGGGTTCAAGCGATTCTGCTGCTTCAACCTCCTAAGTAGCTAGGACTACAGGCACACGCCATCATGCTGAGCTAATTTTTGTATTTTTAGTAGAGATGGGGTTTCACCATGTTGGCCAGGATGGTCTTGATCACTTGACCTCGTGATCTACCTGCCTTGGCCTCCCAAAGCGCTGGGATTACAGGAGTGAGCCACCGTGCCCGGCTGATGAAGCATCTTTCATTGAGGCCGCAAGTAAACTCAAAAAGTAGCTGTTTGAGTCACCATCATAACCTCTTTCCCCAACTCACTGCCTTAACTTGTCCTTGTGTGGTTAGAAAAACTTAGTGTTTGAAAGGCACAGTATCAAAAGGGAACTTCAGAAGTGCCTGTCTTACCTTTGCTCTTGGGCATTTCCAGATGACCCTTGCAGTGTAACAACAAGCAAATCGGGGAAGGCTGCCAGTATGTGCACATTTTAATAAATGGAGGATGCTTAGTGCCTTCCAACCCTTACCCTTTCCTCCAACTCATCTCATTTTCTGACTGAACACTCAAGTATTTCTGGTCTCACATACTTAGCTTTTCTAGTTGTTTTAATGGAATCATTGTATGTATTTCAATTGTATTAAGTGTCTTCTAAAAGACATTTGTATACTTTATAATTCAGAGAAAATTCTTTGGTTGATTGAAGACCTTGGTGGAAGCAGCTAGAATTTCTTGAGCAGTTCCTGTTAATGTTTCCCTTTTATGTAGATCATTTCTTGGAAAGCTGTGTTTTAAAATAAAGCCCTACAGGTACTACTGTTTTATTCTAAGGCCTATGAGCTCTGATATCTAAGACATATGTATGTTTTCAACTATGCCCAGGATGGTGCTTTGCATTCAATAGGTGATTAATAAGTGTTGAGTTTTCAATATAAAATTATTTAAAAATGATTTTTTGTTTCTTTTCTTTAAAAAGTAGACTTTGGAGAAGACTTTGAGCTTTGGAGTCATTGCTTCCAAGCCCCTCTTTGTAACACTCCATGAAATCAAAAGCATCTTTGGATCATATGGGGAGAGCTGACCCATGTGAGGTGGTAGGGCACTGGCCTTTACTCAGGTTTCTGGGGACAGATCACTCATGCTAGTTCATGCTGGTCTCCAAGGCTCTCTTCTTTCTTGGTTGTGGGTGTGGGTTATGTTCCTATACTGAGATGTGCTGGATGAAAAGCCAATAAATATTAATGAAGAGGTTACTTCTGTGAGGCACAGTATTGGCTACAGAGTTAGGTAGAAATAAATAGAAAATATTGTGTAATTGGAAAGGTAAAATGTAAATGCCTAGTTAATTAACAGTAATTCTTAAGGATCCTTAGATTGTATAATATAGTGGTTCTCAAACATTAGTATGCCTCAGAATCTCTTGGAGACTTTTTAAAATACAAATTGTTGGGCCTCATCCTTATATATTTTTTTTTTTTACTCATTTGGTCTGTGTCATGAGAATTTACATTTCTCAGTTCCCACATATTTCTGGTCCATAGACCACACTTGGAGAACCACAGGTGTGTGGTGCAGCCGTTCTCATCCTTGGTTGTACATTAGAATCACCCAGGGAGTTTAAAAAAAAACCCATGCCAAGACCCCATTCTAGACCACTTAAATCAGAATCTCTGTGGAATAGGACCTAAGCATTTTTTTAAAGCTCCCCAGATAGTTGTAATGTGCTGTGAGGTTTGGGACTTCCTGTTCTAACAGGTGTCAGCGTCACAGAACTTTAGATTCTGAGGCATGATATTACCGTGGGCTGCAGCAGCATGGACAGACCAGAGGGGTTAGCCAGATCTTAAAGAATAATAAAGAAAGAAAAAGGGATGATTAGTGTTCTTGTAAAGTTAATGCTGTGAACAAGCCAGTTGGTTTTCTAGCTGTTTCTTGGGACACACTGATGAGTTGGTGAGCTCTTGGGAGTCAGCATGATTTCCCATTCAGCTTGGGGCCAGAGAGTAGGACTGAGGTGTGGGTCACCACCATCAATAATAAGCATTCACAGACCACATTCTATTTTTGCTGATATAGACAGGCTTGCATTTGTTCTAAAAAGCTTAGATATGTGTGTGTTTGGGGTGGGGTGTGGTTGTAGACTGTGCAGTAGTTATAGGCTGAACTTTGAAAAATGACTTTGCCATTTTTATATTTTATGTCTTTAAGCCTCTGCTTATTCACATATGAAAGAAAGTACTACACACAGTTGTTAGACCCACCTCTGCCCCCTTTTTTAAAGTCTCCAGGTCTCACTATGTTGCCCAGGCTGGTCTTGAACTTCTTGGGCTCAAATGATTCTCCCGTCTCTGCCTCCGAAAGTGCTGGGATTACAGGTATAATTATAGTTGTGAGCCACTGTACCTGTTCTTTAGTATGTGTGTGAATACTAGTACAATTTTAGGAACACTGTTCTATTTATTTAGGGACCCCTATAATCTATCAGTGAGCCTGACACATAGTGTCTGTGCGGTAAGTCCAAATTTATTGAATGAATTGGAAACAATGTCTTTTCACACGGACTGACCAGGCATTAGAAAGGATAGGAAGAGCTTGTTTTCTGAGCTTTACAGAAAAAATGCAGCCACCTTGGGTTTTCCAACAAAGGCAAAAAATCTGTTGTATTCAAAATAAAGGAGTATAACTTAAAAAAAAAAAAGATGGAAATATCATTTTCTCAGTGTGTACTAGTCATAGCTACTTGTGACCTATTTTTTATTTTATATATTTTTTTCGGACAGGGTGTTGCTCTGTCACCCATGCTGGAGTGCAGTAGTACAATCATAGCTCACTGCAGCCTGGACCTCCTGGGCTCAAGCAGTCCTTCCACTTCAGCCTCTCTAGCAGCTGAGACTACAGGTGTGTGTCCCATGCCCAACTAAGTTTTTCTACCTTCTGTAGAGTAGAAAAAGGTCTTCTCTTGGTATTCCGTTGTTGACCAAGTGGTCTTGAACTCCTGGCCTCAGGTGATCCTCCCACCTTGGCCTCCCAAAGTGCTGGGATTACAGGTGTGAGCCACCACAGCTTGCCTTACCTGTAATCTAAAGAGGTATTTCTCATTGATATTTAGCCATATCAGATTTTAGTTGCTATTAAATTTTATTCTGATTTTATCAAGTGTAATTGATTATTAAAAAATTATACTCCAAGAATAAGCCTGTGTTTTATTTCTTGGAACTACTACAGACTTTGTTACAATAAATTTCGTAGGGCTCTGAAGTTATAAAATAAATATTGGAGTTTTGGAGCTTGTTAACATTTTGACCTTTTCTATTAAAGCCGATTGGAGTGATGTACAGAGAAAAAGGCTGTCTTGTGTTGTGATTGGGCCATGCTCCATCTACAGGTCCTGGGAAGGATGATGTAACTGTGGTCTAACAGCATTGTCTGAATTTTTGGCCTAGGGCAGAGGAGAAGGGCAGATAAAGAAACTTGATCAGACCATTTGATGCTAATTTCACAGGTGACTGGTCACTGTGTGCCTAGCTGTTGTTACTTATAGAGCTGTAAGTGGATGGAGCTACACACTGAAGCCTGGAAGATGATCTTCATTAGAGTGAGGTGGTAGATAGAAGCATAGCAGTAGAATTTAGGGACAAATGGTCATTGGCGAGTGTCATTGCAGGAGTTAAATGAGACTCATTAGTGGCTTTTATGATTTCCACTCTCACTTCATTGCTGTTCAAGGATGAAGTGAGCGCAAACAACAAAATAGACCAAAACAACCTCTGATAGACTCTCCTTTATTTTTAATTGAGGTTGATAGGATTTTAATCAGGTCAACTTGCATACTGATTTCAACCACAATTTAAAGAGCTATTCACAAAGCTATAAATTAGTTAGAATTATATTTCAAAAGGTCTTGATTGTTTTAACCTACTCCTTCCATTCCCCAAATTACTGATGGGAAACTGAGACCTAGCAGGGTTAAAAAGTCAGAACAGTTCCACAGTTAGCAGTGATGCTGGAGCTGTGATCGGGATCTTAAATCTCCCAGTTTAGCCTTTTCTGTTTTCTACCATATTAGTCCCATAATGAAAGTGTATTTCTCTGTCTTTGAACCTCAGACTTTGTCTCCATGGCCTAGATGCAGGTTATCCTTGGTTATGATATTTTCTCAGAATTACTTTGAAAAATTGTTCCATTGTTTTTTTATTTCTTAAAATGAAAATAATACGAAAATAAATTTCTTCTATTGATAACACATTTGCCCAGTACTGACAGTTTCAGGAATAATGAGAAAGGAGGGGGCCCATTTATGGTACTGGCCCATTTATGGTACTTGGCTGCTGTGTGTGGGCTGGAGGTACCAGCAGATAACACTAGGAGGCAGTGGGTCCTCTGAATCACAGCTTGGCCTTGACATTAGCCCTGGAGACTAGCTCTCCCAAGGAGAACTGTCTTCTGTGGCCCTGCCCTCAGCAGCCTGTTGGCAGAGAAATAGAATAATTGTTTGTTAAAAGTTTTACTAGCTAATTATACTGCACCAAATTGACAGGCATCTCTATTAGAGTATTTCCAGTCTCTTGAAGGTTCTTTACCACATTACAGTCTTACCTCAGTATAGACTGTAGTGGTTGGTTTTTGTTTGTTTTTTTCTCCTTCCCTTCCCACTTATTTCAGAGGCCACACACCAAGTCTGGAGAGGGAGCTGCCTGTGGGCTGGGAATTGGCTGCGATACTCTGGTCAGCCATATGTGGCTGCTGGAACAAATGCCTTTTTGTCATTCATTCTTGGGTCACCAAGCCCTGGAGTAAAGCCCTAAACAAGGGCTCTCTAGCAGAAAGACTTATTAACTCCCAATCTCTAAGTAGAGGCAAGGAGGTGTCTCTGAACCTTCAGAATAACCCAAGGAAACTTTAAAGGCGTAGGTTCCTGGATGCTATCTCCTAGGTGTGGGTTCAGGATTAGTAGGTGTGAAATGGGACCAGGTTTTACAACCTTCATTGCAGCCCGGCTCATGCCTATGATTCAACACTTCTGGAGGCTGAGGTGGAAGGATAGCTTGAGTTCAGGAGTTTGAGACCAACCTGGGCAACATAGTGAGACCTCATCTCTACTAAAAAGAGATCAGCTGGATATGGTGGCATGTGCCTGTAGTCCCAGCTACTTGGAAGACTGAGGATCACTTGAGCCTGGGAAATCGAGGCTGCAGTGAGCTATGATGGTATTACTGTGGGCTTGCAGGCTGGGTGACCAAGTAAGACCCTCTCTCTCTCTCTCTCTCTCTCTCTTTTTTAAAAAAAAAAAAAGAACCTTCATTGCATTAATTGACTTCCAAGGTCTCATCCAGTCATGATGGTTTTTAAACCAGTAGAAGATGGATTTTAAACCACTAGGAATTTATTTGTAGCTGCAGTCAATTTTCAGTTATTTGCCTTACAAATGTTTTCAATCCAGAGACCTTTTTCCTGGCTGGTTCCTAGGTTATATTGCCAAAATCCCTGGCTGGGATGCACCCAAGGACTGAAAGGTAGTTTTCTTCTTGATTTTAAGAAAAAATAATTGAGGGAAATCTACCATTAAAAAAAAAATCATACATTACAACAAGTATAATTTTTAGAGTGGATCCTGTGTTGGGAAGGAGCAGTATGTTATGTTACCTTGTATTTGAGGTGTTAATTAGGGTCAGATGTAGTTTAGTTCTCATGCTTGGGTCTAGCAAAAGTAATTCCCTATTTGGAAAGGCTTTGTTTAGTCCCTAGGAATTATTTTAATGGACCCCAAGTATGTTTAACTGAGTAACAAGATTCCAGTTGTTTGGATTTGTTGTGTATTTACATTGACATAGATATGTCTCCCCTGCTTTGAGCTTTGCCTCTTACTCATATCCAAATCCATGGTTCACATGCTGTAGTGCCCCTTGGACATGCCCAGCCTTGACATGTGTGCAAGGTAATCCCTTTGACCCTCTCAAGAGGGTGCTGCTCATCTTTCTTTCTTTCTTTCTTTCTTTCTTTCTTTCTTTCTTTCTTTCTTTCTTTCTTTCTTTCTTTCTTTCTTTCTTTCTTTCTTTCTTTCTTTCTTTCTTTCTTTCTTTCTTTCTTTCTTTCTTTCTTTCTTTCTTTCTTTCTTTCTTTCTTTCTTTCTTTCTTTCTTTCTTTCTTTCTTT